ATTGGATTATAAAATAAATAGAATTCTTCTTCTTTTGGAATATTGCTAGCATTTGTATAATTCAGATCAAATGGTATTTCATTATAATGACCAAAAAAATGAAGTCGAATATTTATTGAATCCGAATTCTTTTTTTTTGATATTTCAAATATAAATGGTTCTTTATTAAGTTGTTCTATTGTCTTTTCTCCACTATTTATTTCTATAGATTTAAAAAGACTAAATGGTATATTTGTATTATCTGGATCACGTCCTTCAATTAAAATTTCATAATTTTCATCATCAGATGTTTTTTCTCGTGTAACACGTACACGTCGACGAACAATCCATGGTGGAATAGGTATATCAAGTCTTTCCATAATACCTTGCATAATTGTATCACTAAATGCATGTATATTAACTGTAGCCATTGAATATAATGGTGTTCGTTGAAGATTACCAATAACTAATTTTTTATTACGTTGAGCAACTCTTTGTGGTATAGTAGCTGCTGGTGTTACTGTTAAACTAGAACCTTAAAAATAAAGCATATAGCAAAAAAAAAATAGTGTGTTTTTTTTTATAATAAGAATAATTGAATATTACCAAGTACAAGACAAAGATCAGCCTTTTCTGCATGACTAAATGCTTTGTCTAATTCATTTGAGGGTAAATTTTCACCAAAATTTATAATTGAATCTTTCAAATGATTACCACATTCAGGTTTATCACATTTACGACCTGTATAATGATCTAAACGACCAATAGTTGCATCATAATCACGTAAATATTTAGCACCACATGTTGAACATGTTTCTAAATTCATATTACCATGTAATTCAGCTAAATATTTTGGATTTATTCCACTACGTAAATGTAAACCATCACAATTTTGTGATATTAAACATTTTAATATTCCACGACGTTGTAATTCAACTAAAGCCCTTTTTAAATAAAATTTTTAAGATTCGAATTTTTTTTTTTTTGTTTCAAAAGAAATAAAAATTATACATATGTGTAGACGATGGAATAGCTTTATGCATATCATTAAGAACAACAGCTTTTTTTGATCTTGATGCATTATGACTAATAAAAAAACAATAAAATTTAGCAATAATTTCATATTCATATATACGTATATTTACTCTCGTAATTCCCAAGCACCTGGTCCAGTTGGTAAGACAGTATCCATTCCACTACGAAAATCAGGAATTCCAGTCGATGTGGATACTCCAGCTCCTAAAAAAATATGAATATATAAAATCATTGAAAAATATTCACAATTTTAAAATATACCAGTAAATACAATAAAGTGTCGACTTTCTTTAATCCATTGAGCTAATTGATCTAATTTATCATCTAAATCATGTTGTTTATCAAAATGTTCTTTTTTCATGTCAGAATCAGATAACCCGTGAGCCATTTTATTGTTTCTATAAAAATGCACTCGATGCTTCCGCAATGTAATCTAACAGACAAATGAATGGTACGTATTTTGTCTCTTGCATAGAATATAAAGATCATTTCAACACATTGACGCAATAACATATGACTTATAAAAATCAACAAAATCAAATTTGACGTGTATATGGAAAGAAAAAATAAAAGTATAATTTGCCTGTATAGTTTCGATTATACAACAATCAGAAAAAATGTGTCATTTAACCTTGATAGAATTTTTTTGATGAATATTATAATAATCATAATTCATATTTATCTATGATAATATAATTCATGAATAAGAATTATATTAATAATTAAATATGATTGTTAAAATACAAAGACGAAATAAATATTGATATGAATCATATCTTTATTCTTACATAACACCTTGAAATAGAATAAATCATTTCTCAAAAAAAAAATTTAAATCAAATCTACAATGATTTCATTGATATGATTCTTTTTATTTGATTACAAAATCATTGTCAAAATTGATTTCTAATAACTTCAGACATTTTATTTTACTATTGATGTGGAAATCTTTTTTATACTTATGCTTCAATAATTCCACTATGGACATATAACGTACATCTTTGAAAATTTAATCAAATCATGATTCATATCAATAAACAATTCAACTTTGTTTTTTGTTACAAAAGAAACAATGCAAAAAAAAAAACTCTTATCAATTGTCGAAAAAAGAAATAGTTAATATTCTACGCATTTATGACAGTCTATAAAAATCTCATGAGAATAATTCAGTACATTGTTATTTTATCTATTCTTAACACTTTTATTGTTGATAAGTATAAAAGAACATGTTTCAAAAATATAAGAAAATATTGTTTTCGTTCTTGAACAAAAGAATATCATACAAAAAAATATTATATTTATATGAATAATAAAGTTAATAAATATAAATATATATATATATATATATGAGTTTTTATAAATAATTAACAATTTTCTTTTATTTTTTTCAAATATAAGTTCTCTAGAGACAGAACATACTTGCTAATAGAACAAAGACAATCTATAGAGACTTTACACAGAATATTCTTTTGCCTTTGTCATGTGATGTTGATAAGATTACATAGCTTGCTAAATGGCCAACAACAACTTATCTTTTCTATTTTTTTGCTTATTCGTTTGCCGAAAGAGAAGAAGAAAAAAAAAGAGCAAAAAAAAATCTCTTATCTTCGGCAATTCCTTTTTTTGTTCTCTATACTAAATTCATTGTTCTTATCTCTGATTCAATATAATTTGGGCATAGATCAATACAATAATAAAAATTAAGTACGTTTGCTTTCTATTCTTACAAAAAAAAAACACAGAACTCAAATTTTTTGAATCCTGTCAATGATTAATATAATCCATTAATTTCTTTTTCTTTTTTTCTTTCTTTTTTTTTTTTTTTTTTGTTCGTCGTTCTTTTTTTTTCTTATGCATACTAACCTCTAATATAACCATCGTTGCCGCTACAAGTTCTCATAGAACATAGCCTATGATTGGAAGAAGTATGATAGTCAAAGCAAAGAACAGTATTCTTCTGCGATGACGAGTTCGCAGAAAAAGTCATATATATATATATATATATATATAGTGTTGTTGTTTTGAAAAAGAAAAGAAATAGTCTAGTAGTATTGGACAAATTTTTTTTTACAATATGCCAAAAGAAAAAGACTAGTCATTTGTGGTTGAACCAAAACAAATGTTATGTGAGGTCATTATGGTGAATTTATGATGCATATGTTTTACTTGAAGATGAAAGAGAACAAGCAAAGATAATAGCTGTAAGTGTATAGATATGCTTATTTAATCTCGATTTCTAACAAACTTTTATGTAACCACGTATATACACTATCATAGGTACCTAGGTAAAAGGACTAGAGAAAAAAAAGAAAAGAAATTTTATCATATTCTCTTACTCATTGCCAAACTTTATTGATAAGCAAGTATTAACGATGAGATTTTGTTAGACAAAAAAAGAAATTCGTATAGAACTTTTAATGAATTCATAACTAATTTTTTTTACTGATTTTATTACTATTAGTGGATAGAATGTAAGAAACAATACCCGGAATAAAAGTAAATATTGCTTGATGAAAGTGTACTGTGTTTGGTTCTGAAAAAAAAAGAGAACGAAAAAATTTTGCAATTGTCGAGAATGATGAGAACAATATTTGAATAGATGAAAATTGGCTCATGCACGTATTTTTTCTTTTTTTTTACTTATTGAATTTACAGCATTTTTTTTTTTTGTTCTATATTTTTTATACGATAGAATATCCCGTTAATCCTAGTAAAAAAATTTCTATTCTTTCATTAAATATTGACTTAAAACTCACTAAAATAATGAAAATTGAAGTTTTATAAAGAAGAAAAGGTAGATTCTATGTTTATTAATACTTGTATTTAATTTTTGTTTTATTCTAACTTTTATTTCTTTTTATTTTTTGTGTCTATTTCAGTTAATTATATACAGTAAATATTTTTGCATTATTGCGTGTTACATTATCATTCTATGTGATGCCTCGTCGTTTTTTACGTCGTAGTCTTCTAACAGTTCTTCTATTACCCATCATTTTATTAGGTTTATTTGCAATCTATCAAAATCGTCATGTGATATTTTCTGAAAATTCATCATATCATCATCATCATAATGAACATGATTCTCATTTTTTATATAAAACTATTCCATATAACAAAATAAGACAACATTTTGATTCAAGACGTTTAACAATTGATAATAGTTTATCATCTAAAATATTTAAAAATGAAGAACAACCAGTAAAAAATCTACCGAAAACCTCTGAAATTCCTTCACCTTCGAATATATTAAATAATAATCAACAAATAAATATTATTAATTCTAATCAAGAAATTTTACCATTACAATATCATAAACCAATATTAAAAGTTATAGAAACAAAAAATCTTCAACGTTTTGTACATCTTGATTTAAAAGGTGCTGCACCAAAAATAATTTATTATGAAACATTATTTCCATATTTAAAACAACTTGGTGCTAATGGTTTACTTATTGAATATGAAGATATGTTTCCATTTACAGATAATTTATCTATTTTACGACATGATCTTGCTTATAAAAAAAATGATATTGAAAAAATATTACAATTAGCTGAAGAAAATAATTTAAAAGTTATGCCATTACTTCAAGTTTATGGACATTTAGAATATGTACTTAAATTAAAAGAATTTATGCATTTACGAGAAGATAAACGATATCCACAAGTTATAACACCATGTCTTGAAGAAAGTTATAAATTATTATTTAGTATATATATATATATGATTTAAATGATAGTTTGTATTGAAGAGTATTTTTTTTGTTTGATTTTTCTTTTTAGACATGATTGATCAATTATTATCACATCATCCATCAATTCCATATCTTCATATTGGTTGTGATGAAGTTTATTATCGTTTAATTCATCCAAAATGTGTTGATCTTCATTTTCGTGATGAAACTGATTTATTTATCAGGTAAAATTTATTTATTTTTATTAGAAAAAGAAAATTATACAGAGTAATACAAAAAAAAAGAAAAACAACTTTTATCCAAAAACTTTTTCATCTGCATAACATACATATAAAAAACCATCTGTATCTTTATTTTCATTATACAATAATTCCATTGTTGAACTTAATATTGGTTGTTTACCATATAAACCAATATAAAAAAATAGTGCATGTTCAGCTCGTAAACGTAAACGTCGTCGAATATTATAAGCAAATTGACCAAATGATAATTCAGATGGTACAAGAAATTTTTCATTTTCAAGACGTCCTAATGTCATTTCATTGTATGATGATGAAGATGATGATGATGATGATGGAAATGAATGAAATAATGATGTTGATAATATTGATGATGATGAAGAAGAGGACGATGAGGACGATGATGATAATAACGGTTGTACAATAACAGGAATACGATCAGGATAACGTCTTCGAATACGTTCAGATTCAAATCGACGTTGTTCTAGAGAATGTTCCTGTTTATATTGCCAGTTCATTGTATATGATATGAATGATTGTGTGAGCACGTTAGTCTTTTCTTTTTTTTTTTTTTTTTGTGTCGTATATTGGTACCAATACCGTTTTTTTTTTTGACAAGTTCGAGAGGGCAAAGGGCGTATTCACAGTTATGTAATGAGAATAAGACGAGGTTAGCAGCACCTAATTGTTAATACACATTTAATGATCGGATCCAAGCAATAGTAATGACAAGCGAAAGATGAAAAAATGAGAGAACACGAACGTGTCGTTGTGCATATATTACACGTATACATACATATATTCGCTTCTCCTCCTCGTTCTGCCTTTTATTGTATTTATTATGATAATTTTTTTCAATTGATAACAGTATACGAAAGAACAACTCAGAAGGCGATGACATTCTTTTTTTTATTTTTTAAAATGTTAAATAACGACAAATAAAAAGGTTAGATCTTTACTGTTATAATAAATCTTCAATAAAAGCAAAAAAAAGAAAAAAAGACTTGTATTAACCTTACACATTGAACTCGTGATTGTTGAGTGTTTTTTTTTTTTTTTTCTATTGTGTATATTCATTTTTAGACATGTTACTCGTATTGCTAAATATATTAAATCAAAACGACCTCAGATTAAACTATTTATTTGGCATGATATGCTTTCTCAACTTGTCAATACAGGATATAATAATGTAAGAAAGAATTTTGTATATACATATTTCATTCAAGTAGTACCTGTACTTGCTTGTTTCTTTTTTTGTTGACAGGTGACAGAATTAATTGAACTTGTTGTACCTATGGTATGGGCATATGTTGATGATATTAAACCATGGTTTGATGAGACTTTTTGGATGAAGTAAGTTTTACTAGTGTCAATCAAAAGAGCGATTCTCTTTCTTTTTCAATAGATAGAATAGTTCAAAAATTTGAGAAAAATTCTGAAGGACAATAATGAATATTTAATGTAAATATATATTGATAAACTATATAGGAGAAGAATATATAATATTCATAGAAAGAATTTTTTGAAAGCTTTTCTTTTCATCTATAATAAATATATTTGAGTTGTTCAAGAATGATGATAGATGATCATTCATTTCAAGGTTTTTATTTTAACACATAAACACTTGAAATAAGATCAAAAGATTGATAATTATAAGTAATATTAAAGCAAACAACTTACATATAATTATTCAATAGCTCTTAGGTCGTTTTTTTTTTTGATACTCAGCAAAAGAAATACAAGAATCGATAATCCTTTTTTTTCTCGAACTATGATAAAAAAAAAAAAGAAAATGCATAAAATATCAACAGTTAGTTAAATTGTATATGAATAGATTTTCAATATTTCCTGAAGTATGGACTGCAAGTTCATATAAAGGTTCATCTGGTGAACTAACAACAATGAATTATATTGGTCATCATCAACGTAATCAACAAACATGGCTTGAAGCAATGTATATAGCATCAGAAAGATATAAAGTAAATTTTACTGGTGTTGCTATTACCGGTTGGTCTCGTTATGATCATATGCTTTCATTATGTGAATTTCTTCCATCATCTATACCTTCACTTGCATATTTATTACAAACAATTGTTTATGGTCGTTTAACAAATGAATTAAATGAAACAATATCTCGAACATTATTAGGTTGTACTCAAATGCCATTATGGGAACGATCAATGTATCCAACATATGTATCATGTACATTTCCAGGTAATTTACATTTGAAATTTATTATTCAAATAAATAGAAGAAAAAAAAATCTATCAATTTTCTTTTTGTTGATGATATTTAGGTCATGAAATGTATGAAATGATGTATCAATATGATTATGTTATGCGACAATATGAAGAAACAATGTCATTTGTACGTTTATATATAACAGATATTCATTTACGTCAAAATTATATTCATTATAAACGTGGTGAAGAATGTTTTGAACGTTTACTTTCATTAGAAAGTCAAATGATACATTTTATAGATGCATTTCAAAATGCTTGTTTAGTTTTTTTTACAGCTGATATTGGTCCAGAATGGTTACAAACATATTTTATGCGTACACTTAAAGATGTTCAACAACGTACAAATTTTATTGAACGTACATTAAAAACACAATCATCATGGTTACAACGTCCATTACCGAAAAATTTTTCAAGAATTATTATTAAAAAACGAAATATTACAGTCAATAGTTTAATACAAAATTCTTGATAAACTAAATAAAAATAATTAAGAATAATGTTCTAGTCACATTTTTGAAAAAAATAGAATTTCTATTTATTTAGAATACAAAAAAGATAGGTGATGGTTTTGCTTTGTGAATTCCATGCATGAATGTTTTATTTGTTTTTTTTTCTTGTTTGTTATTGTTGTAATTTAAAAACTTGTTTTATTTTAATATAAACTAAACAAACAGTAAATAATAAATAAATTATATTTATACATCTATATAAATGTGTACACTACATTTCTATATCGAAATTAGTATTATGAAATATTGTGAACATCAATAAATGATTTAAAATCTACATACATATTAGCCACAAGAGCAGGTATATGTCACAACGTAATCAATATTCTATCAGACGAGTAATCCCAGACAAATAGCCGTTAATTACTTGTCTAGGGGCATTCTATGACTGGTAGTATTTAAGATTTGAATAGAATATCTTATACATACGTGTCGAGCAATGCAGCTAGTCAGTCATAGTAGTAATCTATGACCGACTAGACAATGAGATCAACATTCAATATGTCTGATTGTTAATTTTGAAAAAAATTCCAAAGATAAGTAGGTAAGAACCTACTTGTTGATTGATATCAGTGTTTTCCTAAGTGTAGTTTGATGTCCATACATTGACATATAAGTCAAAAAACTGAATAATATGTCATTGTTTAAAATGTTCTATAAATCAATATTAATCCAGCAATCTGAACTTTTGTGTAAACTACTTCTTCTAAATTCAAAACTGAGATTACTTCATCAAATATAGTTTTAATATTAAAGAATGAACATTTTTATCCAACTATTTTATTGACTTGATCAATCCTAAAATCTTAAAGACAACAATATTAACAAAAAAACACAAATTTTTGTAAAACCCAGTGATCCATATACGAATATATATTTATGTGATAAGAATATATTTAATAATTAAATAGAAACAATTGCATGTAGTTTATACATTATTATTAATCTCATGATTTTCATCATGAATTATCTGGCTTTTTCTTTTTTGCTCATTAGTCAAATAACGATCAATTGAAAGGATAATTGCCGATAGAACAATAAGTGATGCTCCAAGAAAAAATATTAAAGATTTTGTTTGATGAAAAAATATATATTGTAATATAACAGCATAAACTATATCAAGTGAACCAATAATCGCTATTACTTGGACATTTTCTCGTTTTAATGCTTTTGCAGCGAGTATAGTTGATAATAAGTGACAAACACCGATAATGATACCGGCGGTACCCATCCATTTCCATGGATATGATTCCTGTTGCCAGAATCGACGAATAATACTATAAATCAATGAAATTAAGAAAGCAATACTTGTAGATTGAAAATTCATAACAGAAGGTGGTTGTTTTGTAATGAGTAATTGTTTTCGAGCAACTATTTGTATTGCTTTTGTCAAAGCTAATAAAAAAGCAATGCCAATGCCTAAATAATAACGGGATGAAGAACTCGTAGTAGCAGCAATAGTTGTGGTTAAATTTGTTGTTGTTGTTGTCGTAATTAATACTGACGATGGTGCTGGTCGATTAAATATATGAACAAATGTTTTAATAAAGAAATGTGGCTTAGTAGCGAGTATAAGTCCAAAAAGCGTCAAGCATAATGCAATACCATTAACAAGTTTGAAACGTTCGTTGAGAAATATAACGGATAATATTGTTGCCCAAACAAGATAAGTAAATTTGATTGTATTTAAATCTGACAATGGAATAAAATACAATGCGGTTACATAAATTAAACTTGTACTACTTGACGTTAAAATGTTTAATATACATGCAAACGGTTGTCCATTTGTATTAAACACATTATAATGTTTATACAAAATAGCAAATACACCTAAAGCAGTAGATTGAATAAAAAATCGAACAATCAAAACATCAAACATATCAGCTGGTACTAGTTTGAGAGCAAATATACAACAAGTGAAGATGAAACTTGCGGCTAACATATACCAAATTCCGGAATGTTTCTGTAATCGACGACATGTGGTTTTCAGAAATGACGATGAAACATTTTCAGTATTTTGATTTTTCTCTATAACATCCGTGGAAATAGCATAAAGTGGTATTTGTTGTTGTTGTTGTTGTTGTTGTTGTTGTTCCTTATCCTATACAGTCATGAATGTATTTTTCTTTATTAGTGAAGCTTCAAGAGAAGATAGGATACATACCATGTCTGTAGATAATTCGTCTTATACAATTACACTTGAGAATAACGATGATGTACGACTATGCAGTTATAGATACGTATAATATAAAAACTATGATATTTTATTCATAGCTAGAAGCGAATAAGAAAGCATTACACACCTGTCGATTTAAGAATGAAAAGAAAAAGAGTCAGGAATTAAGACTTCATTCATGTACAAGACATGTAGGACAGTATACAATGCATATGTTATATACATTATTGTCTGTTTCTTACTGAATATAGGTCGTGTACAAGGTTGTAACGCTCTTCGCCAAAAAGCATTTCGTCGAAAGACTCATGAGATGCTTTAGACTGTTGCGAGCCCTTTAATTCTTATATAGACTTGTTCAGCATAAAGAGGTCAACTCATTTTACCCTCACCCGTACCTTTGGAGCGCCCTCCGTGGCCAAAAAATACTTTCGACGAAATATGTTTCGGTGAAGAGCATATATACCGTATACAAAAATATTATGATGTAAGCTTTTATTAAACTCTTTTCCATCTTATGAAGATAATTGAAACTGAGAAAAGAAAATTTTCAATGAGATTTTATTATTGGTAGGTTTAAAATTACATTTACCGAGATAACAAGGACATTTTTTTGTTTTTATCATTTTTGTTGCGCTTGTCACTGGCAATATTATCATATCCTTCGGTAAACATTAGCAATTAAAAGATAGGCGAAGACGAGAAAATTTGATTTTTTTATTATAAGATGTTCTCTGTATAGAATTGTCCTTTTGTTTTAGACTTTCATAATTACTTAACAACAAAGAATGATATACAATTAATTTAGTAGAGGTAATCACCACTACATTGATTTTCAAGTTTCCTCATGGTTAAAATAAAGATTATCTATGAGTTATCAAAAATCTTCGATTAATATGATTTCTTGTAGATCATATTTTCTTGAATCGAGGTATATCATTACATTGTGGTAACTTAAATTGAATGTGAAGAAAAGAAAAAACAAGTAGAATTCAATTATTTTTGTTCATCTATAGAATAATTTTTGATATATTGCATAATATAAAAACCACCGCCATCTACATGATAGTTACGTCAGTAGCAATCTTTAATTTTCCTGTGTATTTTCTGTAACGAAAGATTAACTGATTATCTTGATCCTCTTTAACAAAAATTATCTAAACGTTGCATATATTAAATTTTACAAGCATTACACAGTTCAGTGAGATGTAGAGACTTGCTCTCTAGATAGACCAACTACTCATGTTCTCCCCACTATATCTAATGATGAACTTTCTGTTTTTTTTTCAATAAATAGATATGTTCACTTTTATTTGTTCGAAAAGAAAACAAGGTTATTTTGTATCTTAACTATTGTTTATGCAATTTGCACGACGTCAGAAGCAATGCCACAGGTATTTTGTCCACGTAAGATACGTATGTATCCCTTTTCACCCCAATT